TATGTACACAGGCTATTCTGCGCGGCTCTGACAGACTACAGGCCCAAACCATTGTTAAAAAGGTCTTGTTCAAGAAGGAAACAATGGAGCAAATGGAGAGCTGGATTGACCTGGATGCTAATTAAGCATCTGTTTCAGCGATTTGACTTGGCAGGTCCCTCCCAGAACCCTGCCCCCTCCCCAAACATTCAAGCTTTTAGGCTTCTCAAAACCTGCATGTGGCCCTGGTATGTTAAACTTGAGATAAGGCATTGGCTGGGAATGCACCCAAGCAAAGGACACTTAAGTGTGGAATTGGCACGAATGTTTTGGTTCCTGCCAAGCCAATCAGAACTACTGTTGTAGAGCGCCTCTCCCTCTTCCACTTCTTCGGTCCACAGTGCTCTAGCACATTCCTTTTCAAAGCAGGGGAGCAGAGACTGCGTGGGGTCATGTGATGGATGCTCCAGCTAGATTTTAGCAGCTGGAAGAGGTTTCATTTTCTCCTTCACATTCTCCAGCTTTACTGTGGGCTTGTACTCCAGGAGGGCTGTGTGCACAGCCAGCATCCCACCCCTGTGTCCCCGACCCCGTCTCCCCAGTTCTGGAGATCCATTTGACCCCAGCTCCATGGCACTCTGCATCGGAGAGGCACTGAGAGTCTCGTGAAGTTTCCATGGCTAATTCTGGCAAAGCAAGGAGAGCCCTTCTTGTGTCCACAAAGCCGCTCTGCCACAGAACAGTGGCAAATGGGGCTGGATATCCATCCACCTTGGCATTAGCAAGACAGAGTGAGGGTGGGGGAGGGGGAACTGGGAAGGGGAAAAAACTAAGAAGATGGTCCTGACCCAGTTCCAATTAGTGAAGTGATGCTGTATTAAGCTGACATTTATGGCTTTGCTCATAAGCTTCCATCCTTGCCAGAGCACATGGTTCCTGCAGAAACTGTTTTACTTTGCAAGGTTCTTCAGAAACATTTCCATGTGTGTTTTCTGCTGTTCGTCCCAGAGACTCAAACACAGGATCACCTCTGCTGGTTTTGCAAATAATCTCCTTTTTCATTTGCTTGCAAATAAATAAATAAATACATAAATACATAAAATCATTGCAGGTCTGTAAGACCTCGGGCTGAAGATGATCTTTTTCTTGGCTTTGATTTGTAGACAAAGTGGTTCATTGGAAAGAGGCTGAAGTTGAGAGCTGGAGGCCAGGGCATAGTGTCACCTGAGGACAGTCATCATGCCAGGATTTCAAATCTGGAAGAGCCTAGAGTCAAGCTCCTTTTAGAGAGACAAAGGGTGGGGGAGGAGAGAGAAAGAAAAAAATAGAAAAAATAACCTATCAAAAGTGCTGAGCAGTGGTTAAGAGCACTTGCTGCCCTTCCAGGGGACCGAAGTTCAGTTCCCAACACCCATGTTTGCTAGTTCATGACCACCTGTAACTCAAGCTCCAGGGGATCCAATACCCTCTTCTGGCATCTTTGGGTACCCACAGCATATCCTCACACAGGATGCACACACACAAATGCATAAATTAGAAACTGTTTCAAGTTTAAACTGACTTAAAAATTGCTGTGCAAGCCCGCAGCAGCGTTAACATGCAAGAGCTGACAGAGAACGTTTTCAACCTGTAAGGCGGAACGGTTGGGCATTCGTTTGCCCAGAGGAATTTGTAGTGTGAAAATTAGCCGTGAGACTAGCTCTTCCAAGTCTGACTTGCCATGCACATGCAGAAAACAACATGGACACAGGTTAGACTGCCTCCCCAGACGGGCAGATCATCCTTCTGCCCCTGGCCACCCTCTTCTCCCTCATCCCTGCACTCCTCACTGGGAGGACAGAGCTGGGTAGAGCTGCAGCGGCCAGGAAGGCTCTTCCGCATTGCGGCTCTGGGCTGTGTGAGACAAAGAGAGAGATTGCCACCTATTGACAGACGCGTCACCTGCAGAGAGAATGCTTGTGTAACTCCCAGCTTCCCGATCCCTGAGCTCTGTCAAAAGCCCTCCAGGGGTTGCTGGGCCCTCTGCTCTCAATGGTATCTTTCCACTGTGAGGACAGGGAAGGATGAGGATATGACAGTCCAAGGTGGCCGTGACAGCATTTCAGGGGGAAAACTGAAAATAAATCACCCGCTGTAGTGACAGCCATTTCCTGTTGTGTAGCACACAGCATGTCCCATTTAATTCTGAGCACAGTTCCGGCCATCAGTATTTCATATTTGCACCTGAGGAATCAGGTTTCAAGAGACTACCTTGCTCATGGCCATGGCCGTGACGGATATGGAAGAGGGTTGGATATGAGAGTCGGGTATCAGCTCCAAATGCCTAATGCACTCAGTACGGTCTCCTTACACTTCCTATTGTATTACCCATACCCCCACTATAATTCCCCTAACCTTAAGTCATATGGACTTAAAAAGAAACTAAATATAGAAGAATTATTTCCCTTTGGTTGGAGGAAAATCCAACACTGTCACTTTTTGTAACTGGGCCTCTAAGGTCAGATTCCTCACCGGTAAAATGGGGAGAATATGGCATCAGAATTAGGGACTTATAGAGTTTAAGTAGCATCACCTGTGGTAGGTCACTTTGCAGGATGCCAGGTGGTTATGAATGGGTGCCTAGTCACCAGTGAGCTGAATACAGGCTCCTCTCTTTTTTGGTTTTGGGACCTAAGGCAAATTATTTGACCTTTTGGAGCCTGAATGTCCTCGTTTGTAAAATGGGGCTAGTAATACTATCCATGTTCTTATTGGGTTCGCCATGCAGTAAGGTGAAATTGTGTGTATGAAGAACATTTTGCAAGTTTTAGTCGTACTCTTCAAATATTAGTTGTTAGGATGCAAGAAAAAGGTATTCTTCTCCAAACATATTTTTGAGAACCACTTCTGCACATGACTTCTGTTGAATCCAGCCTCCACCGAACAGCTTTTGTTTGTAGTGTTTATCAAAAGGAGGTGGGGTGAGACAGTTCAGAGGGTAAAGGGGTGGGGCGAGACAGCTCAGCGGGTAAAGGTACTTGCGGCCAAGCCTGACGACCTGAGTTCAAACCCTGGGACTCGCCTGATGGAAAGAGAGACCCCGCCTCTGACTTCCGCACATACCCTGACGGGTGCACCCCTACCCCACACAGATAAATACACAAGAAGCACACACACCAGACAAAATGCTCTCAATGCTCCAGGCTCTTCTGCAAGCAGCCTGTAAGCTATTCCCATTGATCACACTTTTTTTTGTGCTATATTTACTCCTGTTTCACAGATGAGGAAATGCATGGCTGGAAGAATCGGCCGAGGGACTAATTAGGGACACATGGGGAGTGCACATTTGAGTGCAGACATATGGCCAAGCTTACTGTTGTGTGCATTTGTGCATCTCTTGCTCATTTGATGGGCCCATGGGTTAAAGAGTTCTGGGTGGGGAAGAGACCACCCGAGTTATCTTTTACAACAACCAGCAATCGCTTTTTCTCTTCCCGTCTAGCTTTGCTTTGTGCTCCGAGGCACAGCTCCTACAAGAAGGAGGGCCCTGTCTGGATTTTATCCACACACACTCCCACTCCCTACCCCCACCCCCCACCCCCGTTTAGGAAACAGACCTCTAAATCCATTCCTCCAACCTCCAGAGAAACACTTCCTCTTTTCTTCACTGCTAGCTTTTTTGAATTCTACTTAGCAATATTTAAGAAGAAGGAAAAAAAAAAAACTGGTTTAGCAACAGCATGAAAACCAATGAGATGTGAAAATGCAAATGAGCTCTAGACCAATGAGAGCCCTGCACGGCGGGCAAGCTGGCTTATGGGAGAAAAGAATAACCTGGAGTTTGCAAAGTAGCCTCCAGGTGGCAGCAGAGCAGCTATTTTTGGACCGGTCTCACGGATCTCAAGCTCTGCAATTTTTGGGCTTTGTTTTAGTTTGTTTTTGACCTGTTCTTGGTTCCCCGTTTAAGAAATCTTCTGTTACAACCTCGTGGGTATGAGTTTTTAGATGACACGGTAGGCGTGGGCTAGAAGCATGAACTTTGCGTTTACCCCGGTCATTCCTAGGCTTCTTCCATCTTGGCTGTTACGGAGCCAGCCCCAGCCCAGCAGGCTTAGGCCCGGAAGCTTGTAGCGCTTCAGCCTGCCCAGCCTAGCTGAGGACAGGGCCCGGAGGAATCCGGTTCTCTGTTTATCCACCATGACTGCAGGGCTGAATGGTGAAAGAGGTGGGGCTGGCCCTCTACCACCAGTGAATGGGAATAAAGGAATGTGCCACCAACAAACTGGTGCCCATCGAAAGCCGCATTTTCATGCGGCTTATTACAGGCCTTCTTTTCCTTGCGGTTCTGTTACATGTGTCTGAACAGGAATCCTGACCAGCAAAAGGCTTGTGGGCCATTCTACTCTCTTTGGGGTGGTTTGGTCCTGTTATCTTATAGCCTGGGCACATACAGTGGCTGAATTATCAAACAATAGCCTGTCCACGTTTTAGCCATCCTCCTCCTGGCCTCTGAGATGGTATTGCTGTGAACATCTCTTGGTGTTAAAATGTCTGGATGTGTCTCCAGTGTTTCCATTTCTTCCTGGCTTAGCCTTCTCGTGCTTAAAGAATCAGTTAAGGGTGTGGAAACTTCAGAAGGCCTCACCCGATTCTCTCATACACACCTGCTCCCTGGGGCTACCGCTGGCACGTCCATACGTGTTCTAGATACTTCCTCGCGGGGAGCCACAGAGTTCATGAGGTCAAAGACTGCCCTTTGTATCTCAGCCCTTAGCACGGGGCTAGCTTTATCACAGATGCTCAATGCGTATCTTTTTTAAATGAGGAAAAATGCAAGAAAGTTGTTCTTGCTTTGCTCTTAGGGGCGCAATCTGGGGTTCCTGAACCTGAGCCAGAACAGTGCTTGTGAGATTGGTGTCCGTTATTGGAAGACAACTTTAGGCAGACCAGAGTCCCAAGCCTGAAAGGTCATCACCACCATTGGTTTATCCTGTGGTGGGCTCGTCTCAGTAACGAGGCTTCCCTTATGATTTGTACTTTAGGAAGAACCAAGGAGCAAATCCAAGATCTGTGCCAATGTGTTTTGTGGAGCTGGCCGGGAGTGTGCAGTCACAGAGAAGGGGGAGCCCACATGCCTCTGCATTGAGGTAGGTCCTGACGTCCGGCCCGTGGAGGACAACGACTGTGGAAAGTTCCAGGGATCCCATCATTTCTTTTTTTTTTTTTTTTTTTTTTTTTTGGTTTTTCGAGACAGGGTTTCTCTGTGTAGTTTTGCGCCTTTCCTGGATCTCGCTTTGGAGACCAGGCTGGCCTCGAACTCGCAGAGATTCGTCTGCCTCTACCTCCCAAGTGCTGGGACTAAAGGCGTGCGCCACCACCGCCCGGCCCATCATTTCTATAAATGCAGAGCTTGTCTATCCCAAAGACACATGGAAGGTTTCCTCTACAGTTAAGAGTGAAATCCCTGATTTTTAATTAAATTTTAAAAGAGATGCTTTTCATTTATTTAAAAAAAATATTTAGGGAGGCTAGAGAGCTAACTCAGTAGGAAACATGCTTGCTGTATTCAGAGCCTCAGGACCCACACAGATGCCTGGTGTGGTAGCAGGAGTCTGTGACCCCAGCACTGAGGGAGAGAGGCAACTCCATGGAGTTCATTGACCAGTCATTCTAGCCAAATCCTGAACTTCAGACTTAATGAGAACTCTATCTCAGAAAATTATACAGAGTACAACCAAGGACAGTATCCAATATGGACCTCTGGCTGCTATACACATGTGCATGTGCACACGTGTACACACACACACACACACACACACACACACACACACACACACACGTATATAAGCAAGGAAATGGAACCAGTTTAGATGTCCACCAGCAGATGGACAGATGATGAAAACTGTAGTCCATGAACGCAATGAAATATTATTCAGCTGTAAAGAAAATTGGCATTTGTAGGAAAATAGATGGGCCTGGAAGGTGTGATATTAAGTAAGGTGATTCAAACTCAGAAAGAAAACATACAATGTAAAGAGGTATAAGAGTGGGTGTGGTCTAAAAGGTAAAAATGAGGTTGAGAGAGTTGTGTTAAACTGTGGTAGTAGGTGAGGAAGGATGGTATTAAATTAAGGATTGTTTTATGTGTCAAATAGTGTAGGTATTTAGACATTGTACTACCAAAAAACTCTCGGTTCTCACTAGTCTGAGGAAATGGCATTAACAGCTTTTCTACACACCAGAGTTTCCACAATTTTATACAAAATACTATTTCCACACATAGGTCTGTGCAATCTGTACATTGTACTCTTTGATGTGCCTGTGGCAGCCTCCCAGATCAACACAGATTTTAACATTTTTAAACAGCCGAATAATATTTAGTGATGTAAATTTATTCATCGTTTCCTTAGAGATGGATATTTAAGTGGTTATCTGGGTTGTTTACCCCCACAACAACAGCATCCTTTTGCCAGTATCCTTTATTTCTTAGTATTGAAGGCCACTGGGGGCCTGCTGGGTCAAAGGATATGCAAATTTTTAAATTATCAGACAGAATGTGGGCTTTGAAGTTTTTTTTCTAAATGGCATTTGAAAGGCAAAATGAGCCTTTGAGAAATAGGCAAGACTTTAATAAATTTTCATTCTTAATGTGAATGTAAATTGCACCGGCCATGGGCTTTTCTTTCCTCCCTTCTATCAAGCCTCTCCATACCCTGGAAATGGGCTTTTCTGTAAATACTACCCTGTTAGTCTCTGGCCCCTGATTCATTGCATCCGAATGGAGAGTGTACCAGCTTGAATCCTACAACCTGATCCCACTGGGATCCCTTCACCCTGGCAGCCTGCACTAGAAGGATGCTGACCACCATGTGGTAACGTAAATTAGACTCTGGCAATAGTCTCAGCTTGTGATTTTTGAGCAAACCAAGTCCCAGGAATTGCTGTAAAGACAAGCCCATGTTGGTTTTGCTCAGCACCCAAAGCATAGTAAGCACTCCATAGTAAATGTTGGCCGAATGAATAAATGAAGTTCACCTTTCTTCATGTATGAAATGGAGGGGTTGGACTTCTTTCCTGACTCAGGAAGGGAGTCCAACCATTTTAACATCTGTTTTCTTGTCTTCGTATCTCCAGTAGCCCTAGTCTGCCTACAAGCCAGATGAGCTTTTGTCTGTATTTCTGTCCATGACTTCCTGTAATCTTTCACCCTCATTGTCAGCCTTATGACAGTGGTTGGGAAATTAGGTCAAAAGCTGAACAGCTCCCAAACACTACAGAGCACAAGAAATCCCTGTCATGTGGCCCTGGAAGAACTGGGGGAGAGGGGGTTGCATACATTTGTGCATGTAGTTTCCATGCCCCCATCTCTCAGCTCTGACTCTTTCCTGTCATGGAAAGTAGGATTACTTTGCTTCTGTTTCCATAACAGAATGCCTGAGCTGGGCACTTACTAAATCATAGAAGTATACTTCTCCCCATTTTGGAGGCTGTGACATGCATGATCAAAACAAATTCCTTTAATGTCTGTCGAGGGCCTGGTCTCTACTTGCAAAGGAACCCTTGAGCACAGTGTTCCCACATGGCAAATGATAGAAGGGCCAAAGGGCCAAGTGCTGTGTGAAACCCCTTTGTAAAGGCCTTAATTCCATTCCTGAGGAAGGTGCTCTGGTGATGTCATCATCTCCCGGAAGCCTAGCTTCTTTGTGTTATTGCACTAGGGATATGTACAATACGATATTTCAGCCAAAGGAGGGTGTTTGTGTACTTGCATCTTGGCACTGGACCAGGATGGATGGACAGAGGGGCGTGGAGAACTCAAGGTTGTAGGATGCCTGTTGTATCAAGTGGAGTAGAGTCACCAATGGTGACCAGAGCTGGGGTTCCCTGGGCCCTGGTGATTATATACATGCTCCATCTCTGTTGGTGGTGAGTCACCTGACAAGAAGGCTGTGTGAGTGTGTGCTCCATCCTGTATGGCTGCACAAACATCCCCCTGCCGATCTGTTTCAGCAATGCAAACCTCACAAGAGGCCTGTGTGTGGCAGTAATGGCAAGACCTACCTCAACCATTGTGAACTCCACAGAGATGCCTGCCTCACTGGATCCAAGATCCAGGTTGATTATGACGGACACTGCAAAGGTAAGGCATGCAGTCATCGCTGAATGGCAGGTCCTGTGATAGGGAGACAGAGACAGAAACCATAGCAATGTGGCCTGGTGACCACACAACCGTTTGGAGATGCTCCTTCCTAGCATTCCTAAGCCTGCTAGGGCCTTTGCCCTGTGTTTCCTGCATCAGACCTGGGTCTGCTCTCAGCATCACCTGCAGCCAGAGAGTAAAATAAAGTGACTGCATCAATAATCAATAATGGTATAACGGTCCTTAAAAGGATTTCCACACCTTTCAGAAAGTGTAGAGCAATCTCTCCATTCCCTGCTTTTAAAATGTAGGCATTTCTCAGCTTAGTAACACGCCTCCTTTATTTTCACTCTTGTCTTTGTGATCAGTTGGAAAGATGGATTCCCAAGCATGAGAATTCCCAAGCACCAGACCTTTCCAAGCCTGCCCAGCCATTCCATCCTTGACTTTCCCTGGAAAAACACAAAGCTTTATCCCAGACACCAGTCTCCTCTCTGTCCGCTGGGCAGAACTAATCTCTATATGAAGTTTTGAAATCCCAGGGACTGCTCAACCCAGCAGGAAGAAATAGAAATCTGGAAGGGCAATCCATTGTCCACAGGCAGGAAGGATCCCAGCCTCAGACCCTACAAGAAAGAAAAGGATATAAGAATTGGAGGTAGGGGCTGGAGAGATGGCTCACTGGTTAAGAGCATTGGCTGCTCTTCCAGAGGACCTGGGTTCAGTTCCCAGCACCCACATAGCAGTTATCAACCATCTGTAACTCCAGTTCCAGTGGATTGGATGCCCTCTTCTGACCTGCAGGTACTAGGCATGCACAATAGTGCACAGACATACATGCAGGCAAAACACCCATACACATAAAATAAAAATAAACAAATCTTAATTTAAAAAAAGAATTTAAGACAAAATAATGACAAGATTGCAAGACTTCAGAGTTTTAATTCTAAAATCATCGACATATTCTTTTATTCTTCACTTTGCATTACACATCTCCTTTTTTCTTGCAGAAAAGAAGTCTGTGAGTCCATCTGCCAGCCCAAGTAAGTACCCTGACCTTTCTGCAGTGTGTGTGCATCTTAGGGAGGAAGCGTCTTGTCTTCCACGGTCCCCACTGAGCGGCCAGATCATCTGTGGGGTTAGGACTTTTGATCCAGATCTGGGCTGAGCACAACACAGCTCAGTCAGACCACCAGTCTGCATTTTTAAAATGTTCATTTGTTCTGGTGTCTGCCGATCAGAGCAGCTGTTCGGGTCTAAATGTTGACTCTTCTGCATTTTTGCTGAGAGGTGAATGCACTGTATGACAGCCAGTCAGCCCTTCTTTCAGGGCCTTGTAAGACATGCTCCTGTAGAGGACCCAGTGAAATCAGAAGACACGGCTCTTCTTGTAAGAGGACAGTTGGAAATGCCAGTATGGCAACTGCTGTAGCTTTCTCTCAAAATGTATTCGAATGTCAACGTAGTTTATAGGCCCAGACCTCACAGTAACCTTGCAGGTCTTGCTGTAATCACCTTAGAGTTAGGTATAAAGGCTCATAGGATTGAGTCAGTTCCCCTAAACCACACAGCGTGGAAGAACAGAGTGGGAAATGCCCGTATGTTCATTCCCTGGCCCTGCGCCCGCCCTCTTCATGTCCGAGCGTGTGTTGTCTTCCAGGAATTTCCTTTGGCCGGAGCTGTCTCTCCCCTGCCTCTCTGCCCACTTGACTCCCACTTGTTCCTACATGGCTCAGAACAGCTGCTCAGAGCAGGGCTGAGGCGTGGCCCTTCCTTGGCCTGGTTTCCTGTTGTTTATAGTAAAGGATGATGGGAGAAAGTTTTGAAAGGGCTCAGTCGGTGAGAAAGGGAGAATTTCAGCAATCCAGCAGCATGAATAACTAATGTTTTCATTTATTGATTTGTTAATACTTTCCAGAACCAAGAGTTACTTTAGTGAATGATTTTTTTCTCCCTTGCTCCTTCACATTCATGAAAACATCCTTTATTTTTTTCTTCCTTATTTTTTTTCTTAAATAACAATGCCTCTGTTTCACCATTGTTTCAAGTTTCTAATCCTATGGTTTTCAACCTTGCTAACGCTGTGACCCTTTAATATAGTTCCTCATGTTGTGATAACCCCCAACCATAAAATTAATTTTGTCACTACTTCATAACTGTGATTTTGCTATTGTTATGTAACAAAACATATTGTATTGTAAATATCTGATATGCAGGATGTCTGATATGCAGCCCCAAAGGGGGTTGAGAACTACTGTTCTAATCTTTATGGGTGTTTTTCACATGTGAGCGTGCTTCCTGGGGTAGACACATTTCTGTACTCTGGGTACCATAATCCTGCCTCTCTGGGTGCTGTGAAGACTGAATAGGATGACACATGCAGAACTGAGTGACACTGGGCAGTGGGTGCTGATGACTCCAGGGTTCTCTTCCTCACACCCACCTCACATCCCACCCCACCCCCACAGTTGTCTGCTATCAAGCTAACCGTGATGAGCTCCGGCGTCGCATCATCCAGTGGCTGGAAGCTGAGATCATTCCAGATGGCTGGTTCTCTAAAGGCAGCAACTACAGTGAGATCCTGGACAAGTACTTCAAGGTAATCAGAGTTGAAGTCAACAGTGTTCCGTCCTAGAGAAAGGGGGACTCCCTCTTCCCCTTTTTGTGACTATTGGGAGACACAGTTCCTTAGAGACCCTGAGTGTGCCCTCATCACCAGTCATTTTATGGAGCCGAGAAAGTTGCCTTGCGATCTGCTTGACCAGTGGGGACCAGCAGTTGACCTTTGGGGTCCAACATACATGTGCTGTTCCCTTTGAGCATTTAGAACCACCAAAGTCTCAAGGAGCTGCCATGGGAAATGGCAGACTCTCTTCTGCCCTGTGTAACGCTTCAGGGGCTGGAACAGAGCACCTTTGGTATACCAGGCCCACTTCAGCATCTTTCCTGCCCAGCTTGCCACCCATTTCTCCTCGTCACTAACTTGGCCAGTCACAGCTTCTCGTCTGAGAAGAGTCAAGAAGTACGTGGGATTGGAGACTGTTCCAGAATCCAAGTAGTGCTGCTATCTACTGTATTAAGTAGAAGAGATCAGAGTTCCGTTTGGAGGCCCAGAAAGATACTGCTTTTGAAGGAGAAATGAGTGAGGAAATAAATCATTGGCAGTGGGTATGAGTACCACACACAGAGATCATTCAGGAGACTGGAGAGTCATTGGGAAAAGTGGTTAAGGGCACTTTACTAGCTAATTGACAAGAACATAGACACACACCTACACTATTCCAGACACACAAACCACAACCCCATCACAGACACTTCTTACACTCAGCCACACATTCAGGTACCGCATTCCCACAGAAGTACCAAGTCCCTGTGCTTTCAAGATACACATATTAAAGTTGGCGCCTTGGACACTCATCCCAGTGCGTGCTCACAATGCCTGCTGTCCCCACAACTAGCCAGCCAGGACTTAGAGCTCCACACATACAAGGGACTTCCTGGAAGCTCTCAGGCCACGCAAATATGTTTCACACCATCCTAGTCTGTGGATGGAATCTTCAGCTGGCATTATGGACACCCACAGATGAAGAGACGCTGGGTTGAGTTGAAATGGATATTTGATCGTTTAAGGCATCTCCTCTACTATTCTTATTAGATAGAAGTTTTCTCCACTCTAGTTTTTTATCTTACACTGGAGAGAAAGCAGAGCTCTTCCCACTCTGCAGTGTCTCAGCCATTGCCACGTGACAGAGCACTGAAGACATGGGCAATTCCTCTTCTCCAGAAAACAACATCACTTTGCTGAGCAGGAGAAACAGACAGGAGCAGAGAGAAACATAAAGAAATTGACTTGGGGCTGGCGGGCTGCCAAGGCCGGAGCTCTGCGCTCCATACCCAGGACACACATGGTAGAAGAAGAAAACCAACTCTTGCAAACTGTCCTTCAACTTCCACACATATGCTATATCACGACACTCCCACATACACACACATACATACACAACAGGTAAATAAATTAATTTTGATTTTTTTTTTAAAGAAAATGATTTTTTCCCAAAGCCAAATGAGTAATGTCTGCAAGATTTATTGTAGGCATTCCCTCTGTCCTGTCCTTGCTGTATGGAACTGTTGGGCAGAGGACATTAATTCCAAGGGGCCACTTGGGATCTTGTAACCATTTGTAGATGGCAGCTGGCCTTAGGCACTTCTGATACCTGCTATTAAATTTGATTGCCAAGTATCCAGGCCACAATGCCACTCAACACATTTCCATGTCCCCAAGCAGTAACACTCTTACAGGCTCCTAGGGGGTAAAAAAACCCACAGCACGGCCACTTGGGAAAACAGCTTTTCTCTGGAGCATTCTCCCATCTCAGGAAGCTTGCTCACAGCTTACAAACACAAAGCTCCTCTTCCAAGACATCCGAGAGAGATGCTGTCCCACCCTGGCGTAGATAGCTGGATGGCAAATCCAATCAGCATTCAAGTAAGGCCCACCCTGCCTTTCCCCTCCCGATGGTCCAGTCACCATTTCTCTGATGAACTCCAAACAGAATAAAAGGGGAGCCTGGCAGGGAGAGCCTTTCCTACCCATGCTCTTCATACCTTGTGGCACTAGATGGGAGACACCTAGAGGGTGGGACTAAAACTGAAGTCAGCCTTCTTACCTCCTAGACCCTAACTAGCATCGTAGACCCCATTGCCCCAGCTGCTTTATGTGAGTGAATGCCTGGCTCAGCACATCTCCTCTGAACACTCTGTCAGCATACAAGTGTGATTCCCTAGCATGGATCTCAAAACAGTCCTCTCCCTTCCTTTCTACAATCCAACAATCAAAAAAAAAAAAAAAAAAAAAAAGAAAGAAAGAAAAATGTTGCTGTCTCCGACATTTTGTCTGACTACAGACAGACATGCAGAAGTATCTCTAGCCTTTGCAGTTAGAGTGAATTATGCTGGATTCTGGCCAGATGCCATTGGGTTTAATGCTATTTCTGGGCAGGTACCAGACTCAAGAGATGAGATTGACAAGAGCTGGGATGTCCCCTGAGTTTCAGGCCTGCCTTCTGGTTCCCTGGTAGTTGATGTGTGCACACGAAGCACTGACTTTGGTACCAGGTCCAGAGTGCCCAGTCAGTAGCTTCATACCTGCTGCAGGACCATAGTTTTCCTACGCTCATACTTGTCACCAGACGGGATGGGGATGGGGTGTGTTCTAGTTGTACTCAGGAAAGTTCATTGGTCCTCAGGATGCTCCCTGTCTGATCAAGCTTATTGAATTGGGCATCTTTAATTAGTCAGAACCTCACAAGTGGAATTGTGGGGAGATTTCCTCAGGGCAAGTGTATAGTGAGTGCTTAAAGAACGTCTCAGACCTGTCCCTGAGAATCAGGGCAAGCGTGACAAACAGGTCCTAAGCAAAGGCGTAATGGCTGTCTCTTGTGTTCCCCGCATTGTCTATGCCAAGGACATTTCACATGTGACACATGGTAGTCATGAAAGGAGTGTTGCCCCCAGCCTAGGAGTCTAGGCAGACATTTCCTCCAGACGCCTGTGGATGCTGCCCATTTCCCAGGGCAGCCTAAGAAAAGTGTGGGGAAGGAAGGGGTCCCCCTAGAGCTAGTTAGGATAGCAGCAGCATCCAACATGGAATTTGGTCTAAGCCTTCGAGCTGATGCCTCCCCTTGTTGCTAGACCCTGAGCATGTTGAATGGTTCCAGGTGGCTGAGGTCTTGGTTTAGCGTCTTGCTTTGGAGGGAATGATGCCTGACCTTGTTTACCAATCCTTGCTCAGTTGTGTTCTTGGGCTGTCTGTCACAGGTCATCAGCCTGCACGGTGGAGCGTGAGGACCTGTGCACACATAGGCACTGCCACTGTAGTGTAGGGCAGAGGAGGAGGGAGGCTGGTCTTAACCAGCAAGATAGACTTCTGTGGGTCCCAAGGAAGCCTGAAAGATCTCTTGAACTGCTGCTTCTCCTGAGCAGCCTGTTAGGATCATACACCCAGGGCTCCATCCTCCCAGATTCTCATTTACTGCTTAGAATGCCACACCTTGTTATGTGTTCACTAAGGTGTGAGGCAATGACGTTATCAATGGCCTGGAGGACAGTGTCAGGGACTGGGTCACAGGGTCTTCTTAGGTAATGCAGACATCTGTTCATGCTGCCCTCCTGAGCAGGATCCATACTGAAAGAACCCCACTGATGGCTTCTAATCAGGAACTTTCGCTTGCTCATCTTGGAGTACCACTTCCTAGTTTGGGTATCCATCAATCTGAGCCACTAATTACTACTGTAGTTCCTTGTGGCTAGGTGAGGGCAGGGTTGGAGTGTATTAAGAACACGATGAACTGAGGGGTCAGGCCGAGGGTGCCCCAATAAAACGGGCTTTCTAAACACTCCTGAGAGATCTCTTCATCTCCTTCTAGAACTTTGATAATGGTGACTCTCACCTGGACTCCAGTGAATTCCTGAAATTTGTGGAGCAGAATGAAACAGCCATCAACATCACCACTTATGCTGATCAGGAGAACAACAAACTGCTCAGGTGGGGAGTGAGGGCCTGGCCATATGGTCCCCAGGGAAGGCTGCCTAGGAGAGAGGGTTTGGACCGCTTCCACCAGCAGAGAAGCTGCCAGTGCCAATGTGAAAGAAACAGAAAAGAAGGATTTCTGTCGTGATCTAGTCTATGAACATTATAAAACTGGGATACCCAACAACATTCATATCTGATCAAGCAGTTATTGTTTGGGGTCAGAACTTGCAAGGAGAAAAGACTAATTTTGGAATAAATTATCAAGGTTATGCCATACCCACATTGCTTCTGAGTGTGGCAGCTGATGCTCGTTGATCTTCTGACGGAACTATATTAATGTATTCTTTCATTGTAGACCTAAAATCATTTCATTCCTGGTGTTTAAGATGATCAGTGTGGTTCCATGTAGAGTTCCCTAATTGTTATAAGTGTATGCTCTTCTTTTAGTATTCATCTTAGAATAAATATTAATAAACAAAGAAGTTTCTGGCATGGCACTAGTACATCAGTAAGAGTTAAACATGGGAAAGTTAACTCTCTTTTGTTCAAAACAAGTTCAAATTGTAGCGTCTATGAGTCTTCTTAACCATAGTCCTTGACCTTAACAACTCATATTTCAGTAACCTGGATTTAGGTAATTTGATAATTTCAATGTTTGATCATCAAAACATCCCAGTAAGGGAAGGACTTTCCCCCCTACCTTTAGAGGTGAGAAAATAAACTCAGCAAGATTGAATAACTAGCTCAAGGACATTTGAGTAGGAAGTGGCTGAGCCAGTGCCTAAGTCTTAGTCAACAGAGGGGGTGATGGAGCCAGAGTCCTAAAAATCTTCTGAAAGAACTCCTTTTAGAATAGTGATGGTCATCTATCATCTCTTCTGCTTTGGTTTTTCTGGACTGGTTAACTTGACAGTCATGCCATGGGGAAAGGCAATCTAGAGGAAGATAGGCCAATAGTGAGAGCATTTGCTAATAAAGGTGGACAAAACTTTGTCTTTGAGGGGGCATTTGAACAGCCTACGTGCTGTGATATCCAGTCTAAGAAGCTGAAAGTTGGATGTTTCCGGGAGTAACTGGGTAATGGTGTGACAGGTCAAAGGAGAGAGACATGGACAGTCGTCTTGCCTGGGGCTCCAGCTGTCTGTGAGCCTTGTGCTTAATTCCTTTCTTAGGGAAGAAGCCAAGGCCTTGCTGATGGTGTTTCTCCTGTGTTTTGTTTCAGAGGACTCTGTGTTGATGCTCTCATTGAACTGTCTGATGAGAACGCTGACTGGAAACTCAGCTTCCAGGAGTTCCTCAAGTGCCTCAACCCATCCTTCAACCCTCCTGAGAAGAGTATGCCTAATCTAGAAACTGAGTGCTGTTGGGGATGGAAGCATTACAGGGAAAGGAAGGTGCAAGCCAGAAATAACTGGTAGAATTCTCCAGAGATAACAGAGCTAGCCCCCATCCATGATACTGGGCTGTCATCAGTCCATCGTCTCTATGATGAGGTTAAGGCCATGAGTTTATGGGGCATTTGACCATGAGAGACAAGGCAGTCCTTGTCTGGGAAGTGGGACATGGGTGCTCAGACTGTATCAAAGACACCACCCTGTCCCACCCTCGTGTCCCAACTGTTGCCTTTGTCTATGGCCCCACAGAGTGTGCCCTGGAGGACGAAACCTATGCAGATGGAGCTGAGACGGAGGTAGACTGTAATCGCTGTGTCTGTTCCTGTGGACACTGGGTCTGCACTGCAATGACCTGTGATGGTGAGCCATACTGAGGGCAGACTTGAATGAGAGGAGATGACATGGGTGTGATGGGGCAAAGAAAGGCCAGGGACTGGAAGTGAGTGGCAGCCCCCCAGCCCCTCTGGGGAGCACGGTGGGTGGAGCACTTGCTCTAGATGCCTCAGGTGTGAAAATCAAGAGGCATCAAAGGAGAGAGAATGGTGATCCAGAGCACCAATGAATGTCAATATGAGACTGAAATAATCATCATGAAAGAAAGCGCTGATCGGTGAGAAATGTGTACCAGCAACCTTCCACGGTCTATGCCTATTAACCAACTTAATCCTTATTACAGTTAAGGAAATACTCTATATAAAAGAGTCAAGTAGTCAGAAGTCAAAAGGACTTAATCTTCCATGCCATGCAGGAAAAAAAAAAAAGTAAATGAAAAAAATGTAAAAAATAAATTAAAAATTTAAAAATTAAGATCATTGAGAGACAGGGGCAAGATGGGTTGGGGACATATAGGTGTTGGAGTTTGGAGGCAGAGCAGAGGTCCAAGAGTACATTGGAATCACTCACATCCCATCAGAGACCTAAGCTACAGTGATGTCAGTGATCAAGAGGGAACTTACATGAAAGTCAGGCTGAAGCCAAGAGTCAGATAGAAGCAAATCAGAGAAGGCTATTAAAGTCAGGTCCAGAGTGGGAGTCACACAGTGGAACCAGACTTAAAGGTTATACCTGCAGGAATGACCCTGAGGTTGTATTTTAAGAAGTTAACTGAGGCAAGAAAAAGTAGGTACTTAAAATTATGTTCAGGGGGATTGGGTAAGATGGTCACTGAGAGACAGCAAAGACCCAGGAAGCTCTCTAGCCAGGACGCCCAGAATGCCATTGGTGTACGTGGGAGCCAGTGTTACCCATAGGTTCAGTGACCTTCATATGTCTGAGTCTGCTTCAGTGTGAGAGAATAGATGCCCAGCTTACCCGTAGGGGTGGATGAGAAAGCAAAAGAGGCTGTTTAAGGACAGGAATTTTCTAAAAGACACAGAACTGATAGCCAGACACACGCAATAGCCACTGAAGCCATCAGAGGGCATCTTTAAATGGGACCGAGCCCACCTCAACCAGGAAGCAATGTGTCTTCCCCAAACTCCCTTCCACGTCTCTAACTGCTCTTGTTCTCACTTTGGAAAGGTATTCCTCCTCCATTTCTAAGACACAGGAGTCAGTGTGCCCTGACTTACGGAACCCTAAACACAATCATCTGGGTAACAAGCCAATCACTGTGCATCAGACAACATATCACTCCCATAAGACTTAGTTTCCATAGCCATGCTGTGTGTGGACTGCGCCACCTCACGGACAGTTCGGCCTATGGGGCCTCAACACATCTTGGTGTACAGACTATGACATAAGAGGAAAATGAAGAGGCATTTTTCAGGCCAGTATCTGAAAACTACCAGTAGGGACAAGCAGGTTATTGAGGTAGCACCAGAAAAGGCCAGGGCCATGAGAACTGGCTAAGAGGAACAGACGGACCTGTGTCTATTGTTTCCTAATGGTAAATGTTGTGTTCAGCAAATGGATTCCCAGGCACCCTTCCAAACCTTCTAGACTGTAATCTACAAAAAGAACATCTTGGGGACCTGTGTAGGGTTTTTGCTTTTTTGTTTGGTTGCTTGTTTTGATTTTGTTGTTGTTGTTGTTGTTTCATTTTGTTAGGGTTTTGTCTTGTTTTGTTTTTCCTGTTTTTTTTTTTCCTTTGTACTTGAGAAACATTTGTTACATGTAGTTATTAACCCTGGTGTACAAAACTCCTTCAAAAAGCAAAAACATTGGTACCCAGCTACCTCAATCAATTACATCAAAATTTCTACAGTTAAAAGCCAGGTGATTTGAAATTTTGTTTGTTTGTTTTTTTGTTTTGCAGTTCTGGGGGGTTGAACATGGGGGTGGGGTACACGGTCTGCATGCTAGGCAAGCACTCTGCCAACGAACTACATCCTGAGCTGGAAATTACATTTGCAACTGTTCTCTGGGACGTTGTGAGGGTGTGGGAACTGTTGCGAATCACTGCCCGGGAGGAGTTTCCTGAGCCAGGACTCAGGTTGTCGCCATTGCATTCTGTAGGACTGGCTTGTCTTGTGGAAGTCAATTAAAGGGAACAGCAGGAACAGAAGCCAGAGAATTAGGATAGATTGCTTATTTGTATTACCCTGGATGCCTTAATGCTCAGAGAGAGGTGGGACATTCAACTCTCCTCCACAGATTGAGTGGAGAGTCTGTTAGGTAGAGCCCTCCCTGGCTTACCACAGCCCCCACTGCTCTGAACTTTGCTTCTTCTTACAGGAAAGAATCAGAAGGGGGCCCAGACCCAGACAGAGGAGGAGATGACCAGATATGTCCAGGAACTCCAGAAGCACCAGGTGAGCAGCCACAGTGCTGGTTCAAAGATTGCTGTTGCTACCAGGCTCTTAACACCACTCAGAAGCTGTCCAGTGCCCCTAGGAGATGAGGGAAACCCACTTTGTTCAACACAGATCCCAGAGGATGCTACCTCACCCTCACCTCAACTACCAAACTGTGATACAGACCGTTCCCTGAAGGAGTTACTGTGCTGGAGGTGGGAGGGCCTGAGGTATCACTACAAAACCTTCCAACAGCCATCATCTGAGAGCTGCTACCAGGAGACGATTCTTAGCATTTCTGTCCTCCAGCATGTGTGGGCAGTGTAGGATGCCTAAGACCAGAGAAAGCCCCGAGGTGGAGAAGCAGGTGTAGGCCGTGAGAAGTCAAGCCAGTGTTCACTATGAAACATTCAGTGCAAGGCAGCTGGACGTGGAGTACCAACTGTGCCTGATAGGTGCCAGCCAATGGTGTAGGCAGTTTCCTATGGTCAGTCCTTAAATTGAAGTCAAATTCACATGTCATAAAATTTACCCCTTTAAGATATGCAAGTATGCAACCAAGTGACTTTCAGTGTATTTCTAAGATTGTCAGCCATTCCCTATGGTCTAATTCCAGAGTGTTGTAACCTCCCCGCAAAGAAACCCCATGCCCACTAGAAGCAACTCCTTTTTTCCACCCTTTCCTTCTGCCCCGGAAATTGCTAACCTGTCTTCTGACTGTAGATGTGCCTGATCTGGAAATGTCATATAGAATGCTCCTTTTCTGTCTGACTTCTTGCATTTAACATAGTGCTTTTCAGGTTTATTCTTGTAGCATAAATCTACATCATTCCTCTTTATGTGAGTCATATATGACATATATATGACATTTTGTGTATGCATTCAATAGTTGATGGATATTTAGGTAACTTCTAGCTCTGATGGATGCTGCTGCTATGAACGTTACTATATAAGTTCCCATGTGGACATGTTTTCACTCCCTCTATATATTTAGGAATAGAATTCAGGCTGTGTTAAATCCCTAAGGGATTGCCGAAATGCTTTCCAAACACCATTCATGGTACATCCTCCCCAAGAGGTCTCCATTTTCTTCACATCCATGCCAACATCTGTTACTACTGTTCTTTATTTCATCTGACCTACTGGATGTGTAGTGGTATTGTTGTTGGTTGGTTTTTCTCTTTGACTCTTTTGGGCAGCTTGCCACCCACCTCCCAAATATATCATACACAGAGGCTTATTCTTAATTATAAATGTCCGGCCTTAGCTTGGCTTGTTTCTAGCCAGCTTTCCTTAACTTTAAATTATCCCATCTAGCTTTTGCCTTTGGGCTTTTATCTTTCTCTATTCCTGTATACCTTTTCTTTGTTTCTTACTCCACAGCTTGCTGTGTAGTTGGGTGGCTGGCTCCTGATGTCCTCCTCCTTCTCTGGATCCTTCTTCTCCCAGATTTCTCTTTCTATTATTTCTCTCTGCCTGCCAGCCCCACCTATCCTTTCTCCTGCCTCACCATTGGCTGTTCAGCTCTTTATTAGACCATCAGATATTTTAGACAGGCAAAGTAACACAGCTTCAGAGAGTTAAAACAAATGCAACATAAACAAAAGTAACACACCTTGAAATAATATTCCCCAACATGGTATCTCATTATGTTTTCTTTTGTATTCCTCTAATGTCTCATGATGTTGTGTCCTTATTGGCTATCTGTACATCTTCTTTGGACAAATATGTCAGGCACTGTTGTAAGAGCTGATACAGTGTTGCCCTGGTGTTATAGTTAAAGATGTTAAGGTGTAGATTTCAAAATATTCCCAAGGACACTAGGAAAGCTGAACAAGCCAAATTCAAGCCCAGACCTATTGACTCTGAGACCTATTGATTTTAGTAATTTTGTGGGACATGAATTCAGAACATTTCCCCTTTAATATCCTTTATCCTTAAAACCGGAACATCTTTCATAAGATGTTTATATAGGATCAGCTCTTAATTCAGTAAACTACCCATGAATGACCATGCCACAAATTAGATATAGCCTCATGCCATTTATCACACAAGGAGGAGCCATATAAGTAAACAACTAAAATCTAGCATAATCATGTGTCTATTGATGATATAGAAAGTCTGGGGGATCTGAATAAATGCCATCAACTTTTTATTATTTGCATAATGATTATTTTTTCTTCCATCTCAAAGGAAACAGCTGAAAAGGCCAAGAAGGTAAACACCAAAGAGATCTAACAAGAAGCACACACAGCACCGTGTCTGGAGCCCAGCGCCTCCTCTTCAGCGCTGAGTCCAGTATACACGAGCGTCTGCTGAAATCAACAAACCACCAGTATTTGCTTGTATGGCGATGAATATTATTTCGTTTGTTTTGCAATGAAGGAAATGAGGCTGGCTGGCTAGCGAGGGAAGGCCACAACCTTCATTTCTAGGAGTGCTTTAAGAGACACTAAAGGGCACTTTGGGGCTGGAAGCAAGGAAGGAAACTGCATCAGGCTGGCAGAGGAGCAGACCCAGGTCTGAATGAGTCCGTTCTGGGTGCACAGCAGCTGTGTGGAGGCTACAGGAAAAGCATGTGATGTTGCGGGGAGAGCTGAGCCGGCTTTGCTGGAGAAAGGGTGGGGAGCTCTGTGGAGAGGGAAGCACTGTCAGCATGACAGACTGCAGCATATCCGCTTCCCCCCTTGGTCCCAACAATCACCTGAATACACAGCCATCCCACTAGTTACCTGTGTCCCTCAAATTTGGATGGACTTTTCAGGAGGGTGTGTTTAAATGATGCAGATACTTAGATACTTCAAGCGCCATGGAGACCTAACCAAAATTTTAGAAGACATTTTTTTTTTTTTTACCAAAGGTGCTATTTCTCTATAAAAGACTTTTTTTTGCAAGCTGACTTCATTCCTCAATTATTATCATTATATTATTGTCATTTTTTAGTATTTCATTTTCTTGACTAGATATTAAGCTTTTGTAATTATTTTTTTTCAATAGCCTTCCATATCAGAGGTGAAAGGGGTTTGGGAGTTTTTCTGGGTACAGGGAACCCTGTAACATAGAAGGCCTTTGCCCTGTCACCCACTAGACTAGATGCCACCCAGAGCTACACCACCCCACCGCAGGCTTCCAGAAGGTCAGCTGCATGCCAAGAAGCATGAGGTGCCTCAGACAGAAGCCATAGAAAGAAGCGTCTTCATAGACAGTTGTTGAGATCCAAAGAATTCATTTGTTTTTGTTTCTTGTAAGAAGTTCAAAGGACAGAACCCCAGGCTACCCCAGCCTGCCAACACTCTGTGATCTGTGATCTGTGGCTAACTGGCCGAGTGGCTGGGGCCCTCTAGGTCTGCTCCTACTTCTAGGTGTCAGTTTCCTTTGTAAACTTGATAAGAATGCATCTTAGGATTTAAGAAATGATACAGTTTGTGGTTTGGGTAACTGGTCCAGAGGGAGCTAGGGTCCTGTGACTCCCTTCTTTCTCCTTAGGATAGATGAAACCACACAGCAAGAAAAGACAGCCAGTAACAGCATGACGAGGTTTTGCCTTGGTCTAAATGATCTTTTCAGGTGGCTGGGGTGAGGACTTTATGGATCAATTTGCCCAAGAAGAGAGTGTGAAGGAGAACATCCAACCTTCTCGAAATGGTGCACATGAGTGCAATCTCTGGTTGGAGTAAGAGATTTCCCCATACAGATGAAGATAAAAGTTTTCAGATTTGAATGCAGTTAAAAATGAAGATTAAATCTTAAACCTTAGCACTTAAGGCGGGGGAACTACTCAGTTATTGCAAGTCAGTCCTTTTTTTGACCTCTGATTCTTAAACTCCCTTATTGCCATGTTTCATGTGCATTTAACATCACACATACACACAAAAAAAATCAAAACCTTATCTCATTTGCAAAACTCAAACTATAGACCCTCCAAATAAATTACTGAGATTTTCCTGAATAGGCAAATGTGGAAAGTTGGGATAGAAGCAGAATTCCTCCTAAATAGTTTTTCCTGTTCTCATTTGAAAGGAGACAGCTCCACATTGCTGAGTGGCCTGTGCTTTTTTGTACCACCCCATTCAAAAACTCCTTGAACCCCTTGTACAGTCTGGATTTCAGCTTCCTCTCCAAGTGCCTTGGAGAACTCACAGCAGCATGCCTTAATCAAAAGTTTTGCCAGTTCTTGGACATGATGGGAGAGGGCAGGAGTATCAGTTTGCTCAAAGCAAGTAGCTACAGTGTCTGTTCACCAGTCATCTTTAGAACAGTGGTTTTCAACCAAGACTATCCCACCTCGTAACACTAAATACACAAGGGCAAGCTCACATTCCTCTTGAGTTCCGCTACTTCTGTATAAGTAAGGCAGCTGTTGTCTATACCACCATAGATTCGTGTGATACCTAAACTATTCATGAAAAGCTGCTAAGTAGCCTAGTTTGGGGAGCCTTAGGTAGAGCTTTGCATGGGACCAACAAGCAGGATTGCATCAAGTTCAGTTCCTACAGTCCTCCAGAAGCCTATAGGCCAAGACTGCAGGCTCCCTGGGCTTTCTGAGATTTGTTTTGTTTTAATAAACAATAGTGTCTGTTAAGATTCAAAGCCGAGGGAGGTTTTCCCATATACATATGCCATGACTCTGGATACTACTGTCAGTCTTGGGAAAGCAGGCTCCTTCTGTAACCAAGTCCATGTGAACAGTCTGAATTCCTTCTATGCCTATGATCTAAATAGTTAAACTTCAGGAAACAATTTCAACAGATCTCTGTTGCCCATGTGGTCATGAAAATTCATTTGTATTTAGTGTGCTTCCATATTTCATTTAACTTGTTTTTGTAATTTCTGATTTTTGTTACTATTAATAAATAAAAATAAAATAAGAGTTTTGTTGGTGTCCTTATCTCCAACGAAGGCCAAATGAAATTATGAGAGTGTTTACTTCTTACCACATAAGAGTAAGTTTGAGTTTCTCTGAGCCTTGGTGGGGGTAATATAAACACATAATTATTTCCTTTTATTTCATGTTAAGCATTGGGCCACCGTGCATGGCAACAATCATTGATTCTCAGCAGTTTGACCAGTTACAAGTTTCCACAATAACTGTTGCCCAGAGCTGACCAAGGCTGACAACAACAGAAATCTGTGGCTGTGAAGAACTGTCTAGAAGGCAGTTTAACAGGCACATCACAGCTACTGAAAACAATAGCAGGAACTTCCCTACTGGGATCTTTCACCTCCCCCACTCTGGCTTACAGTACCAGACATGAGTCCCTTCCTGTGGAATGGGCTTTAAATCCAGCCAGAAGACAGTTGGTTGCACCAGTAATGGTCATGCTACTATTGCACCAGTGGGTACATCTTGCCTGGAAGATGGTAGTGTAGCATGCTGGTCCATAACTACAAAGTATTATGTGCAACACTTCTCCCTCAGCAGCAAATCTGTGAGACACTCAAAGACTACAATTCTATAATGAAACTTTTTTTACACGGATTACTGTCTATTTCAAGTGTGTGCCAGTTGGCCTTGGGATTCAGCAGCTAAAGTAAGATAGTTCTGTCTAGCTCAGTTAAAGAGAAGAGTTAGTATAAGATTGGAGTCTGCTTCAAAGAGACAGAACAAGAGCTTGAGAAATCTACAACCGCAATGGGAAAATAGCTGGAATGTGCTTAGAAAAAGACGTGTGTTGAGAGGAATCCAAGCTGAACACAGCTCCCACCATTTGGCTTCTGTCCTAATTAGGGTTACTGTTGCTGTGATGAAACACCATGACCAAAAGCAACTTGGGAAGGAAAGGGTTTATTTTACTCACAGTCCCATAAAACAGTTCAAAAGTGAGGGCAGGAACTCAATCGAGCAGGGCAGGAACCTGGAGGCAGGAAGTGATGCAGAGGCTATGGAAGGTTGCTGCTATAGCTTGCTCCTTGTGTCTTGTTCAGCCTGCTTTCTTATAGAACCCAGGACCACCAGACCAGAGATGGCATCACCCACAATGAGCTGGGCTCTCTCCCATCAATCACTAATTAAGAAAATACTCCTTGTAGGCTTGCCTACAGCCCAATCTTCTGGAGGCATTTTCTCAACTGAGGCTCCTTTCTCTGATGACTCTAGCTTATGTCAACTTGACATAAAACTAGCCAGCACAGCTTCCCATAATGAGTGTCATCCAAAAGGTAAGCTAGCTAGTTCTGGTGACAAGAGAGGCAGTCATGCCCTCAGGACATGCCATGAGATGTAAACAAGTCTTTCTCTATCCCACCAGCTCCCAAATAATGACACAGAGACTTATTAATTATGAAAGCTCAGCCTATAGCTTAGGCTTGTTTCTAACTAGCTCTTATAACTTAAATTAACCCATTTATATTCATCAACATTCTGCCATGGGGCTTGTGGCTGTTATCTCTCCTGCACATGCTGCTTGTTCTGCATCTCCTAGTGTCTCTGCCTTTCTTCTTCCCAGAGTCCTCTCTGTCCTTGGAAGTCCTGCCTCTTCCTCCCTAGCTATTGGTCATTCAGCTCTTTATTAAACCAAGAACTATAAAGTGTATCTCTCCAGCAGGGTAATGAATACTTAGGAGGACTTTCAAAAATGCAGAGAAGGCCTCTGCTGCCTCAGTGCTCAGTTGCTTACCACATTCCCAATGCGCTTTGCCACCCTGACAGGGACAGTCTTGAGAGGCTTAGGAGGGTGGGGGAACCTGCACAGGAGGGTGGGAGGACCTGCACAGGAAAGTGGTGGGAGAACCTGCACAAAAAGGCGGGAGAACCTGCACAGGAAGGTGGTAGGAGAACCTGCACAGGAAGGTGGGAGAACCTGCACAAAAAGGTGGGAGAACCTACACAGGAGGGGGGAGGACCTGCACAGGAGGGTGGGAGAACCTGCACAGGAAAGTGGGAGAACCTGCACAGGAGGGTGGGAGAACCTGCACAGGAGGGTGGGAGAACCTGCACAAAAAGGTGGGAGAACCTACACAGGAGGGGGGAGGACCTGCACAGGAGGGTGGGAGAACCTGCACAGGAGGGTGGGAGGACCTGCACAGGAGGGTGGGAGGACCTGCACAGGAGGGTGGGAGGACCTGCACAGGAGGGTGGGAGAACCTGCACAGGAGGGTGGGAGGACCTGCACAGGAGGGTGGGAGGACCTGCACAGGAGGGTGGGAGGACCTGCACAGGAAGGTGGTGGGAGAACCTGCACAGGAGGGTGGGAAAACCTCTGTAGTCAACAGACTGGGAAGCTAAGTGAGGTCTGCAGAAGCCCCTGGTAGAAAAAGAAGAGAACCTTTTAAAGTGAAGACAGCTTGAGTAGACATTGGACACTTGCCCAATACAGACACAGCAACAGCATAAACCACAGTAAAATAAGAGACCCCCAGTTCAGCTGACAATCTCCACCTGCCCATGCAGAAAATGCAGCCTTCCATTTCTGAGCAACCAAAAAGAAGTTGCACTGATATTTTGCTTTAAAAACCAAACAAAGCCCCCTAGATCTTAGCAGTACTTTTTTTTACTTATTTATTTTATATGTATGAATGTTTGCCTGCATATACATATGTGCATTGTATGTCTTCCTGGTGGCCATGAAGGTCAGATACCATGGAATTGGAGGTACAGGTGGTTGTGAGCCTGCGTATGGGTACTGGGTGCCAAAATCAGGTCCTCTGCAAGAGCAGTGGGTGGCTCACTGAGCCATCTCTCCAGCCCCTTCATTATATATCTTCAGTTTTTAAGATCTATTTATTTTATTTTAATTATATTAGTGTTTTGCCTGTATGTATAATTGTGTATCACATGCCTGTCTGGTGCCTGTGGAGGTCAGAAGAGGGCATTGGATCCCCTAAAACTGGAGTTACAGACAGTTGTGAGCTGCTATGTAGGTGCTGGGAAGCAAAACCGTGTTTGCTGCAAGAGCAACAGCCAGTGCTCTTAACCTCTGAGCCATCTCTCAGAGGAGTCCCCAGAATTTTAAAAATTATTCTTCATATATCAAAATCGGTTTCTGCAGTATTTTTCATTATTGGGCAATCTTCCCCCCTCTTCCCCTCTTTGTTGTGTTTCCGCTCCCCCTCCCACTAAATGGTTATTAGTTTTTAATTTATTTTATTATATTTTAAACTTATATTTTTATATTTTATTCTCTTCCTTATATTTATCTAATTTTGCTTTCAAACATTCTCATTATTAGGAAATTTCTGTTTTGTTCTTTTTAAGGGTTTTTTTGGCATTTCCTGCTCTTTTCTCTTCCCTTAATACCATTCCTCTCCACTCTCTTACCTTCTCTTCATTTAACCTTGCTTCCTCTTTAGTTTCCCTTTCTCATCCATTTACTATTTATACATTTATTCTTCCTTTTTTGACAGAGTTGCATTCTAAAGCCCTAGCTGGAACTCACTTTGAAACCAGACTGGCCTCAAATGCATGGCAATCCTCCTGACTCATCCTCCCAAGTGAATGATTTCAATAACCCACTCTCATTTATACATAGATCATCCAAACAAAACAAAAAAATTTTAAGAATCAGTGAAGACATTTCTGAGTACACCATACATCAAAAGAACTAAACATATCTACAAAACAGTGGTTCTCATCCTTCCCAATGCTGCAACCCTCTAATACAATTCCTCTTGCTATGGTGACCTGGAACCATAAAATCATTTTGTTGCTACTTCATAACTGTAATTTTGCTACTGTTATGAATCATAATGTCAATATCTGAAATGGAAGATATCCGATATGTGACCCTCGAATGGGTCATGACCCACAGGTTGAGAACTGCTCTGCTAGAATAAAAAAGTAGCCTACAGTTGGGAAAAATCTCCACCAATTACACATCAGACAAGAGACTGATAGCCAGGGTACATAAAGAACTGCAAAATGTAAATGGCAAAAAACTCAAATCGATAAATAGACTAATGAACTTAATGACAGTTCTCAAAAGATTAAATATGGTCGGGCAGTGGTGGCACACACCTTTAATCCCAGCACTCGGGAGGCAGAACCAGGCAGATCTCTGCGAGTTCGAGGCCAGCCTGGTCTACAGAGTGAGTTCTAGGACAGGCGCAAAGCTACACAGAGAAACCCTGTCTCGAAAAACAAAAAAAACAAAAATCAAAAGAGGAAATACAGACATCAAATAAACACTTCAAAAGTCTTCGACACTCTTAGCCCTCAGAGAAGTGCAAATTAAAAGTGATTTCAGTCCTGTCAGGACAGCTATGGTGAAGAAAACAAATGACAGAAAATGCTGGCAAGGATGTGGGAAGGGGGGACCCTTCTCCACTGCTGGTGGGTGTGGAATCTTAGTGTAGTCACTTCAGAAGCAGCATGGAAGTTCTTCAATAAATTAATGACTAGAACTGCAGTATGACCCACCTATGCTCTACGCACCCACTGTCCACAGTAGAAAACAGGACCGGCCTCGACGTCTATTGACCAATGAACAGATAAAGAAAATGTGGTACATACTCTACACACCCACTGTCCACAGTAGCTAAGAAACAGGACTGGCCTCGATGCCTATTGGCTAATGAATGGATAAGGAAAATGTGGTACATGTGTACAAGGAACGTCCTTCAGTTCTAAAGAAAAATGAAATCATGACATTTGCAGGGAAACAGATGGGTGGAAATCATTATGTTAAGTGAGATAAGCCAGACTCAAAAATGCTACATATTGTCTCTCATATACAGCAATTAGATCTAAAGTGTGTGTGTGTGTGTGTGTGTGTGTGTGTGTGTGTGTGTGTGTGTGTTGAAAATAGAAGGACCACCATGAGAAAGGAGGAAAACTACTAAAGTCCTAAAGGAAGAGGTAAAAGAGAGGGTAATAGGGTTCATATGATATAAAAGCATAAAAGTCAACTGTTTGAGGAAAGGAAGGGAGCCAAC